AAAAAAAAATGCTTGAAAATAAAGTTTAATAGATTTTATTTAAACTTATACTTTTGATTATTGAATAATTAAAATTTAATAAATTTTATTATCTATATTATACTTAGAATAAAAAATGTATTATGTGATCATTCGAGATGATTAAGCTAGAGAATATTTCTTTATTTAATTAATTTAAATTATTAATAGTCAATTGCTAAACATTGAGCACTAGAGAATTAGAGATAAGGGAAATATTAATGAAAATAAAATTTAGGAAATAATTAAGTTCATAAGATATTTACTATTTATAATATCTATGAAAAAATTTAGACTTTAAGTTATTACTCTATGAATTTAAAAAACAAAATTGCTATAAAAAATTCTACAAAGAAATCTAAAGTGTCTTAAATTATTATAGTCTTATATCATTTCATGCTTTTTTTGTAGCTTCTATTTGTTTTTTTTTTTTTTGAGGGAAGGCAACATGATAGTTCATCTTAATGAATTGTAAATAGGGGTGGCACTATTAAAAATAGATTCTTTAATGTTTCCACGATCATGAACAAAAAATTAAATTATTACATAATTTAATTTTTTTATTGTTGTTGTTTATGTCATCCAAAATATTGTCATCAAAGACATATAAAACATATACAAAATCCTTATTCATTACATTTTAATTATTGGAGGAACACAATATTTATAATGTAAATGGCATGAGAAGCTTAACCCCACTTTACATAGTAATAACGTTCTTAGTCTTATTAGTTCAATTTTTAAATGACAGCGTTCTCCTGCTAGCATGTACTTCCACCAACTTGGGGTTCTTCTTCCTTTTTTCCCTAGTTATCTTCCAAAACTAACAAATCAACATGTTGATAGTGCTTTAAGCTACGTTGGGTAATTTTAAGAAAAAATGTTGTATTTTATTTCAAATCCTTTTAGTGGTTCTACACTAAGATATGTCACGACATGCTTTAGCCTCAAATGAGTTGATTGGAATTGATGAATCACCTGTATAAAAGTCCCACACTTCTTCTTAGAGATTCAATAATCTAAGATGGCCTTGATGAACCTATTTCCTTATCTTTTGTAGACATCTTCATAGATCTCTCTTTTAATTTTTTTTGGGATTTTCACTTTTTTTTTTTTTTGCCATATTGGTTGCTTCTTTAGAAACATCAATTGAGAAGCTTCTTGACGTAGATTATAGACTTTGATTAGCAATTATATTAGAGACTTCAATTAGCAAATTTTTTAATGCCTTGATGATGAACTCCTTCAAGAGGAATGCCACTAACCCATGAATGTGTTGAACATATATTTTTCACAAGTTTTATAACTATGCTACTAGTTTAGCCATTATCTTTAGGATCTAGTCCCATTATAGGATCTCTTAGTAGGTTTTTCTAATTAGTCTACTGGTGATTGTACCATTTGATTAACCCATATTAAACCTTGATTCTCTTAGGACTTCTCTTTGATTTTATAATCATTCAATTGAACTCTAACTCATCAAACAAAGTTAAAAGGATAATAGTAAAATCATTTGAAGCTAAGGACGATTGTTAAGAAAATCAAACCCAATCCACCATTAAAACTTGAGGTGTGCTTAGATTATCTTCAAGATCCTTGGACAATATAAAAATAAAACTTTGTTTAGAAATTTTTGACTCTTCATATTATCTTTTAGACTACCCACTGTCTTACTCCTAAGTCAAGGATAGACCTTATCAACCCAATTTGATCATGTCAATTCATAATGACTAACTAAGGCTCACTCAATCAAAATTAAGCCTTCCCCTTAAAAAAATGGTTTTAAACGAACTTAAACATGTGTATAGGTCACTTAAAATCAAATATGAATGAATTTTAAAATAATTTTAAACTATGTTCAACTATATTTGGACACACGCCGTAGATTAACCCAATACTATGTTCAACTATATTTGGACACACGCCGTAGATTGACCCAATAAGATTTTAATAAAATCAGTAAATCCAATGAATCCTAACTTCTTAACAAACTGAAACTAATGAACTTTAGCAGTGGTTGGACACACATCAAGTCCACTTGGGCATTTGGTCAAACCCATTTTGAATTAAAGATCCATTAACGACAATTAAGTTTCATTAAGAACTAATTGAGTTCAAATCCTTATTGAAGTAGTTGGACTGAATTAGTTCTAAAATAAATCTAAATGATTCATAGGTTTATAAAAAAATTATCTTCTTGAGCCTTAGTGATTTATTTAAGATTTATTGGTCCATCTCTAGTTGCCATGGAGCTCAATTTACATTAGTGCCATTGAATTTGTGTGAGAAATTTCTTTGATATAGTCTATGAATTTTCTTTTTGTTCCCAAGGCCACCTTAAAGTGGAGGGGACGGGGAACAGAAGTTAGGTCTGGCATTCTTTCCCCCGAACAGGGCTTCTTTGATCGTTCCAGTCTAGTGTTGGGCAGATCCGATCGGAAAAATTATGGTCAGGGGTTCGCTTGGCAAGCTTCTTTCCCGATCCATCTCGCTCGCCGGAAAATGGCAACAACAACAGCTACGGCGGCTCAACATCCATGAGTACCAGGTTGGCCTTTTACTATCGATTTTGATCTGGGTATAAACTTGTTCACGATCTCAGCAGTTTCGATATAAATGAAGAAACAATTCTTTTCTTAAGTTTCTTCTGTTGTTCTTATAAAATTTGGTTAACTTTTCTGTAAGATTTGGGAGACGTTGAATCTTTGATTTTGATGCTTTCCTTATATCCTTGCATGTTTTTCTAATAGGTTGTAAGTTGTTTTTTTTTTTTTTTTTTAGTGCTTTCGTGATTTCATCTCTTGAAATTTAACAATTGATTTTTCAGGGTGCTGAGTTGATGAGCAAGTATGGGATAAATGTTCCAAAGGGTGTTGCTGTGTCCTCCATTGATGAGGTGAAGCAGGCTTTGAAGAATGTTTTCCCTAATGACAAAGAGGTATAAATATTATGCGGTAAAATGAATCAACTTGAACACCTGAGCTCTATTACAAATAGGAATAACTTTTTTCGGTTCTCAAACTTAGAAAAAATTAGGGGCATTTAAAAATACCACCCAATTTTTTTGTATTTGAATATGTAATACCCAAATTTTGTTTTTTTTACATTTATGCAGCCAAAATCTTTCATATCACATAAAAAATACCACTTTTTTAACTTTTAAGTGACATACACCTATGCCGTGCACTTCCCACAACATAGTGGTGAGTTTTTAGTTTTCCACTATGAAGTCGTGGGTTCGAATCACCCATATAGCTCTCTGGGATCAACCTTCCCCCAAAAGAATACACCTTTACGTGCATAGGGAAGGTGGAATATATGTAAAAAATTGATGTTTATATGTTAGATATGTAAATACATAAAAATTGAGTGCTACGTATGTAAATATTCCAAAAATGTGACCTGAACTTTGTTACATTTCTGTAGTTGGTTGTCAAAAGTCAAATTCTTGCCGGTGGAAGAGGCTTAGGGACATTCAAAAGTGGACTAAAGGGTGGCGTGCATATTGTGAAAGCTGAGGAGGTGGAACATATAGCTGGTAAATTAATTGATTTTCTCTTTTTGTTCCTTTTTTGTTGCATCTATGTAAGCATGAATGAATAGGGTGCATGTCTTGAATTCATTAAAGACAGTAGTTTTAGAGTATTGTGGGAAAAACATATTACTTCTCCCATAGTTTTGCTTCAAAGATGTGATTTTGACATGTTGGAACATTCGCCTTCCTGATGTTAAACAGTTACTGAATTTTGCCACATAAAATATCATAGATGTGACAAAAGTTGACTTAATGGTCATGGTGAAAAGTATCCTACTTTGTTTGAGTATTTTTTTTAGGCTAAAATGCAATTTGCATTTTGGTTTCATAATTTTCCCCACTTTTTGTTTTAGTAATAACCGTAAAGCTTCAGAAATTACATCATGTTTTGAGTGCCCGTATTTTTGATTTTCATGAATAGATGTCTAAGTTGATTTTGAGGAGGTAGTTCTGTACTTCTGCTAATAATGTTCAGCTTTTGTCCACTATTATCATTATTAGTCTTATTCCAACAATTTGGGGATGGTTTATGAATCATCATTTTTTGTTCATTTCTTTTGAATGACTTATTTTTTTGTTATTATTGGTCTTACTGCTTTCAGCTTGTGTCCATTAAGGACTCAAAAAACAAGCATTTAAATTTTCTGTCATCATTTTCTCCAACCTCCTCTTTTAAACTTACATATCACAATTAAACTTACAAATTTACATGCATAGTGCTCATTTTTTTAACATCGCATAAAAAAATTAAATATCACAATTAAACTTACAAATTTACATGCATAGTGCTCAATTATTTAACGTCACATAAAAAATAGCACTATAAATACACCTTTTCATTCAAACGTTCAGAGCACCGAAGTGTTATATATGTAAATATGGAAGTTTAGGTGTGAGATATGTAAATACATAGGAATTGTGTGCTACGAATGTAGATTTCCCTATAGTATTTTAAGAGTATAGACTATGGTTGTTTGGCGTTTCTTAAATATTCATGAAAATTTTTACAGCAGAATTTTGTGAACTAAGCAGGTAGCAATTATCTTATTACATAATAGCTCCTTTCTACATGTTTTAGGTAATATGCTGGGGCAAATTCTAGTTACCAAGCAAACTGGACCCCAGGGAAAGCTTGTGAGCAAGGTTAGATATGATATTCTATTCTTGCTAATTTTGACAGATCTCGATTAGTTTTTATTTTTGCTGTTTATAAATCCTGCAGATCAAGTGATCTTAGCTACATTTAAAATAAAAAAAAGATTCAAATGGAACTAATTGACACTCTAAGCTGTTAGCAATGATAATATTAGACTTATTAGATGTTTTTTTTTTTTTTTGAATTTGTTGTAGCTCTGCCCAAGTGTAAGATTAATTTGTCAGACAAACCAACAGTTATTTTTTTATTACTAACGTAATTCGGCCTCAAATGGTTTATTGGTGCGGGCATTGGAATATGAGCATGTTTTTGCAAGAACATATCGATGAAGTAAATTGTAATAAGTTGGAAAACATGTTAAAGGCACCAAATGCAAAGTCTCTTAAGAACATGATTTTTTTTTTGAAGTATCAGTAAAATAGTGATAAATTTACATTCATTAGACAAACTGCAGTATCTCGGAATATCTTGTGTTGCAGTATTTCATATATTTAGGAAGCCTCTTGATTTGGTCCTTTGAAGAATTTTACATACATGGGCTTGCCGTACATAGAAGAGACGATGGGGGGGGGGGGGGGGGGGAGGATATTGGTTTATGCTCTTGAAAATTTCAGTTATTGCTATGCTTTATTTTTAAAAATTTGATCTTAAACATATAATGATGACAGCTTACTATTTTATAAATGTTTTTTTTTTTTTGCATTATATCATTCTATTTTTCAAACTTGATTTCACTAACATTAATCAACTCTATTATGGTCATTTTAATTATCTTTAATATTTGCCTTATCTCAGCTATTGGAGTCACTTCTATGAATATATATTTTTATTGCTCCTTTATGTGGCAGCTTAGCCTTCTTGTAGTTATGTTAATCCATCCCCCTTTCTTTCCTAGTTTTCAGTGTACTTTTCTCTACCGGCTATTTTTGTTTAACTTCTATTATCGTTAGCATAGACCAATCCACCTTGGAATTTTTTTTTTCTTAATACCTTGTTGCCTATAAGTTTACCATTTTTACAATCTAATTATTACTTATTCTTTCCTCCGTAGTTTTATCATAAAATCATCTCCTTTTTTTTTCTACCACATTCAACCTAGTTTAGTTATTTGTGGTTTTTTATCTTTGAACACTCAAATCCACAGAACTAGAAAGCCTATGCTATGTTTGGGTGAACCAAAAAACAAAAATGCTTTTTAAGTCTAGAATTATTTGGTGCATTCTTTATTTTATGTTTATTATTTTACAATACACCATTAAAATGACAAATTAAGTGCTACCAAGCTTGGGGGTTAAGATTGAAAAGCATCTCTCACAAACAAAAGCAAATTTTCTAATCACAATGTGTCTTTAACATTAGACTAATTCAGTTGTCTGTGTCAGCCACTAACTGGAGATGTGACTTGAATGAAGGGTTTGATTGATCAAACAGTTTTTTGGCCAATCAAGATTGCCTTGGCTGATAGCCTTCATTGATCAAGGCTTCATCTTTGTGTTCCTTAGTTCACTAAGAAAATTTTTGGGTAATTAAATATGTGGGCTGTGCCACATTCACTGACAAATGTGATGACCTACATAGACTACCAAGTCAAATTTGGATAACCATAAACTAAAGGCTTATTAGTTAAAAGAGCATAATCCTAAATTTTAAGTCTGGTAAATACAAATTTATTTATTAAACAATCAACTAATTTCATAAGATAATAGTTAAGTTTAGTGAACGAGTGAGTGACAGAGAGGGTAGGAAATCATGGAATTCTTTTCCTTAAAAATGATTCGACATTAGAAACTAATACAGTATTGGAAGATTTCTCTTTCTTTTTTGTGTTTTTGTGAGAACCAATCTCTCTCCTTATTAATTATGATTTATAAGCATAAAAAAATATCAAAACATTGGAAGAGTTTTATTTAAATGGAGTTTGTGTGTGATTTGAGTGATCTTAACTTGGATTCTAGTGGTTGAGGATGTTAGGAGATAGAGATAGTGCGGGAGGTAAAGGATTGGAACATCTGGGGAAGATAGACCCTGAAATTCTGAAAGTCTTGGTCTGGCTCGTACAGGGAACTAGCGTCTGACAGGAGCCGCTACCTTAGCATGTGCTCTAACATAGACGAAGCTAGATCTCCCTCCTATGGATCTAAGACTTGATAGACCAACCACATATCTGACTTAGTCACGTCGGATCGAGGTTTCCTAGTAGGGAAGATACAAGAGGGAGATCTGACGGGGTCGAGCCAAATAGTGACAGTGTTGAGAGGGATGAGTGAGACCACACATGCCTTGCTTTACACATGGCTACTCAACTCGATGGTTCCATCAATTGCTTCATCAGTAGACGACATTCAAAAGGTGAGCGACATCTCAGCGAAGCTGAAGATCTATGCTGGAGCTGAAAATCACATGAGGGTGTTCCAAATTCAGTAGGTGAGCGACATCTCAGCGAAGCTGAAGATCTATGTTGGAGCTGAAAATCACATGAGGGTGGTTCCAAATTCAGTGTGAGATAGAGGCAGTGGTTCAGGGTGATTGATCGATTCAGAAGTACTCCATAGAGTTGGAGCGACTGTCTCACTTCTATTTGATGTTAAGTTGTGGCGATTCAGAGTGCAATAAAGAAGGATCTTTACACATATGAGAACTATGTTGTTTCTGGCCCATCTGAATTTGACCTTTTGATTAGAGGAGATATGTCCTCCTAGCTCAAGCTACTATCCCTTCACTGGATGAAGCCATTGCTACGATGATACATGAGAAGAGTCACATGAAGCTACATTTGAGCCAAACTAACTTTCAGGTGCACGATTAGCTTTAGTTGCCTCGAGCTCAGGCATGATAGGTGTCTAAAGGGAGAGTCGCAAGTGCTACAACTGTGGTGAAGTTGGGCATATGAGCAAGACCTGTCTTAGGCCACCTAAGGAGAGACATAAAGGTCGACATGGACAGAGTGGAGGTTCTGGTTATGACCGTGGTGGTCGAAAAGGTGGAAAGGGGGACTACCGGGCAACTCTAATGACAACAGAGGGAGAGATGTGTATTTTTACAAATGAGGATTATGAGTGTCTGGAGTTGTTGAAGAAGAAGCAGAAGACAACAGGAGATGGGGTTGAGGAGACTTCCAACTAGTTGTCATCAAAGGATAACATTGTCACTTATGCTCACTCTGATAAAAGGTACTTGTGATGCACATGCTCTTGCCATTATTTTCACTACAGGATTATCATAATGGATGTTGGATTCTGGTGCATCTCGATATGTGACAAGTACTGTTAGTGAGTTTTCTTTCTATACTCTAACAGTATCAGAGAACACCAGACTTCTGATGGTACAACACAACCTATAGTTGGTAAGGGTACATTGCTTTGTCCAATGTTTTTGCATGCATCTTCTTTTCTATTAAAACTTTTATCTATTAGTGTCATTATTCTTCAATTAAAATATATTGTTTCTTTTGATATTTTTAAGTTGATCTTCTAAGAGAAAGGTATAGGCCGAACACTTGGGACTGAAACGTGGCATAGTGGACTCTGGTACTTGGACCGGGAGGGGATGTACTTAGCTTTGACATCCATGATAGAGAGTGCTGGAGTAAGAAAATTTGGGAGTGCAGATGATGTGTTGTTGTTACATTACATATGCATGAGACATTTTTGTTTTAATTTATTGAGTCGGTTGCATCTTTCTTTATATGAAAATATAAATAAACAAAAGCTTGTTTGTGATGCTTGTGAGCTTGACAAACTTATTAGGAGCTCTTACATTAGCTCTGGAATAGGAGTTCTGGTGTTTTTGACTTGATACATTCTGATATTTGGGGACCTTATTCTACAAGTTCTATGAAATGTTATCGATATTTTGTGACCTTTATTGATTACTTTTCTCGTATTACTTTGTTCTATCTGATGAAAAATAAGTGTGATGTGTTTGCTTGCTTTAAAGACTTTTACAAAACAATCCAGACTCAATATGTTGCAATAATGAAGGTATTGAGGTCTGATAATGAGACAAACTATACCAACAAAGCATTTGGGAGATATTTTTCAGCCCAAGAGATACATCATCAAATCACATATCCATACACATCGACATAAAATGTAGTAGCAGAGAGGAAGAATAAACACATTCTAGAGGTAGTCTGAAGCATGATGATCACAATGAATGTCCCAAAGCTCTTATGGAAGTAAATGATTTTGACTGCTTCTCAATTAATCGTCAGGATGTCTTCAAGGGTGTTGGATTGGAAGTCTCTTTGTCACATGTTGAAAGTGGATAATAGCGGGATCCTTTTATCAGTAGGGAAGTTGGATCTCAGATCTGTGAAATATGTGTTCGTAAGTTATTTTGCTACACAGAAGGGGTATGTCTGTTGGAATTCGATCGAGAAGAGTCTTTTTGTGAGCATGAATATGTCATTTAGCGAGTTTAAACCATACTACACCTAAGAGATGACCTCACCCTTCGGTGACTTGCCAGATACTGGAGATATGAGGCAAGTCGGGGTGAGTAGCAATGATGAGAGAGAGATACAAGTGGGAGCAATGCCTTATCCTGTGATGTGGGATTAATCAGCTGAGAAACCAAAAAATGAGGAGAGTGAAGGGATTCAGGCTGAAGGTGAGCTAAACGGTATATACACAGAGAAAGAAGCAGAATGAGAGAACGGTACCTGCAGTGCCACTTCTATCAGCTAGTCACTTATCTCGGTTTTTCCCGACCCTTGAGACATGTATACCATCTACCTCTGACTCAAAACTCTCTAGTGATATGATACCTCCTTATTCTTCTAACCCCTCAATTGTAAGGTGGATCTCTCATAACAATGTTCGACATCCTCCTGATTTTTTGGGTGGAAACATGAGATTGCTAACTTTGCTTCATACCTAACATATCACTTTTATATGGAGCATTTTTTGCATCTTTGGAAACTGTCTTTGTACCTATATGTTAGGCATGTTGTTATGGAGGATCCTGAGTGGAAAGCTGCTATGTATGAAGAGCTTAGGGCTCTCAATAAAAATTAAACATGGGATATAGTGCTATTACCAATGGGGAAAAAATAATTGGAAGCAAGTGAATCTTCGCAGTAAAGCAAACTTCAGAAGGGAACGTGGTGTAAAACACGATTGGTAGCAAAGGGCACAGTCAGGTATATGATATTGACTATGATGAAACATTTGTAGCAGTAGCAAAGACGAGCCCAATGAGGACACTAGTTTCTTTGACAATGAATGGTGGGTGGAGATTATACCAACTTGATGTGAAGAATGTTTTTCTTCATGGTGAGTTACTGGATGAGGTATATGCAGAAATGCCACCAGGATTTTGTACAATCCAAATAGTGGGCATGGTGTGTATGCTCTGGAAGTTGTTGTATGACTTGATGCAGTCTCCTCGAGTCTGGTTTGACAAATTTAGAAAGACAATGGTGGGCATGAGATATCAATAGATCATTGCAGACCATACTGTATTCTTTCAATAACATGAATCTCACACCACTATACTTGTTGTATATGTTGATGACATCATTGTCAACGGTAATGATGAGGTAGAGATTACCCACCTAAAGGTAATATTGAGCAATAAATTTGAGGTGAAGGATCTTGGACAGCTCAGATACTTTCTTGAGATTAAATTGGCCCATGAACCTGAGGGAATGGTCTTGTTCCAGAGAAAATATGTATTAAATCATTGCGGAAATAGACATGCTGGGATGCAAACCTGCAATCTCTCCAATTGACCAGAGACCGAGTTGAGTGCAGAGGTAGGATAATTTATTGATTGTGAGAGGTACTAGAGATTGGTGGGCCGTCTGATTTATCTGTGTCGCACTAGACCCGACATCTCTTTTGCAGCCGCTACATGCATGATTAATGGAAGGGTCATATGGATGGAGTGTATCGGATTCTGAGATACCTAAAGAGTTCACCAGGAAAGGGGTTGATCTTCAGGAACATTGAGGACTTTTGTGATGTTAACTAGGCGAGTTGTGCATATGACAGAAGATCCACATCAAGATATTGTATGTTCGTAGAGGGCAACTTGGTCTCTTGGAAGAGCAAGAAACAGTTTGTAGTAGCGAGGTCAAAAGCAGAGACAAAGTACAAGGCCATGGCCTTAGGAGTTGCCGAGATGATGTGGCTGACAACCTTTTTGGGCGAGCTTAAGGTGGACCAAGGAACTCAAATGAAGTTGTGGTGCAACAATAAGTCAACAATCAACATTGCTAACAACTCGGTGCAACACAATATAACCAAACATGTGGAGATTGTTAGATTCTCCATCAAGGAAAAGCTGACTAACAGGCTACTGTAGCTAAGTCATGTAGCCATTGGAGAGAAAGTGGCTAATTGCCTCAGTAAAGGACTTAGTTCATTATATTTGTCTAGGTTTTGGGACGAGATGGGCTTAATGAATATCTTTTGCCCATCTTGAGAGAGAGTGTTGAGAATTGGACCTTATTTTGGGTCCTATTAGTAAAAAGGGAATATTGAAGAAGTTTAGGGGTTGATTTGTAAAATATTGTAATACCTTATTTAAGCCCATGTTATGAATGTACAGATGAAACTTTGAGAGCAATTTTTCAATTATATATATATCTATCTATATATATATATATA